ATGCATCGCCCCGGGGAAGGAATTAATTGAACCGCCCATTGCTTATCGCCATGTGGTTCCGGATCTAAAAGGCCATGCCTCGCTATCATGACGATCTCGCACGACTCCACGTATGTCAGACGGCGTCGTTCGCAACTAGCTACCCAGCCAGGACTGCCTTTAGCCCCGGCGGCCACTTTTCAGACCCGCCTGGATATACGAATCAGGGAATTGAAGGTCCTTCGCATCCTGAAATTGGCCCCCAAACCATGCGGATTCGACAAATCCATCGACGCCGCCTCTGAAGGAAGATGAGCCGAAACAAACCAGAGCATCATCGGGCGGGGGGCTTGTTAATCATTCACTCGGTTCCTGTTACTGGCGGTGACGCTCAACGCCCACAAGCCTTTTGGGGCTGGAGTTGTGTTCCCCCCCTAAAACTTTCCACAACCGATGGTGACTGGGGAAGAGAGAGAGGGGAGGCGAGAGGGGGTTAGGGTCGAGTAAACTAGTTTCAGCCGGTCCTTCCACTATGATAGGAGCTTGTTTCTGCTTTCCCAGGCGGCTCTCAGCCCAAACCCGCCATCTCCGAGTCTATTCCTCTCGTGGCTCGCGAAAAGAAGTTGTTGGTATCGATCGACGGGCCGGTTAGGGCGATACGATTGCTGATGTCAATTGCTAAGGTCTCCTTTAACCCCGTCATTATTCCCAGAGTGGAGTAGCGAGGGGACAGGGGGGGCGCTTGCATCCCAAACTAATTCGAGGCTACTGAAGCTGACCAGGCCGGGTGCGATTGAGCTGTTGGGACCTTCACGTGGCGATGGTGCAGGACTATCCCCTATTGAGTACCCTGACTCAGAGCCGGAGGGAAGCATAATCCGACTGGCGTGGCCCATCTTGTCCGGAATAAATAAACTCAGAAAATGAACCGGGTTCGATCCTACTAGTAAGTATTCAGTAGTCGTAGTGGTGACGGTGTGGTGGGTGGTAGAGGCCGACGGCGTTGGGTCACCGTTTAAACGACTAATATTAGCTCAACAACAGGAACGTTCTTCAATGACGGACCCGCTTAACACGATGATGGAGATGGATGGTTCTCCATGCTCTACAATCATCAGACCACAAATGGGGGAAACCTGTGGCTACCAACAATGCGACCGATGGACATGATCAGATGAAGGGAAGTTTCGTAGATGGGATCGTCCCCACGTCCAAGAACTATCCAAGGAGGTAACGCGCAGGTCAGTGGTGATTGTTGGGTTGGAGATCACAGGGAAAGGTAAAACAATAAAATAAAACAAAATAAAAATAAAAAGAGGGCCCTCTAGTTAGATGGAAGCGTCCGATGTGTGGCAGTGAAAAAGAGCACACACAGACACACACATACGCCTTTCATCGAGTGCGCGGGAGAGGATTTGAAATAATAATAATAAAAATAATACTAACCACAATAATATCCCGACCTGTCAGGAAAACCCCATAATCAAAACGGGGGGAACCATTTTTTCAATTTTCAGCAATTTTCAGCTACAAATTAAAAATAGCGAGAGAAAAATCCACGGTAATTCGTATACGAAAAAATCCAGGATAAGCGTAATTACTATTCCGATCTAGTGGCATAAGCCCAGGTAAAATACATACACACAGCACCCACCCTCGTTCTCACTCACGCATTGCCCACCCGCCATAAGCTGCCAGTCTCCAAAAGACGAACCACCAGGTAATCTTCGGCCCCCGTTCGTTGCGCTTATTCGGTCTCTCGCTCGTCTGGCTATCACTAGGCCACCAGGCGTTAAATACTCTCTTCTAGCCGGGCTTCTGGAACACAAAAAACGGGTTATCGAATTGATTTACTACTACCTACTACCTACTATCCATCTACCCGTCCACCGTCCTGGCCAACCTACTACTACTTACCACACTACTTACTTTCGCTGTCTCCCGTGGTGGATATAGTTGCTGTCAATCCGGAAGGATTCTCTGCCTAAGCCTACTACCTAACTAACTGTATGTTCCGTACCCTGATTTGTTTTCCTTCGATCTACTTAGCACCTGTTGGTTTTTGTACTTCTTTCCTCATTTCCCTTTTCTTCCTTCATCTCTCCAACGTCTTAATAAAACCCACCCCCCCATCTTTGATCTTCTGCAATTTTTATTTCTTCTTGATATCACCTCCCTAAAATATTCATGTTCTTGATCCTCGTTATTCTCTCAGTTGTTGATCGCCTCTCTTGTTCTTGTGGTTTTGGCGTACCTCAATCGAGCACCCATGTTTTCCAGTGAATTCTATCACTCACCAGGCGACTCGTTCGTTCGTCACAGACAGCTGGGCGATTCTATCCCGCGAAGTTGGAGAGTACCATCACCAGCCTCGGCACCTTTCGTCGTTGATCTTACTCACTCTGATGGTGGTTCGGTTCCGCTAAAGTCTGAGACAACCCCATCGGATACCGCTCTTGCGTCTACTCTTCCAGGCTGGCTTCCTGGTTTACCGAGTCCTGCTTCGGTCTACAGCTCTCCTCGGAGCGAAATATCCAGCATTAGTTCAGGAGAAGGACGGAGTCATCTATCGCCTCTTCCTCCGAATCAGTACCTAGGCAGGGCGCCTTTTCCATCCGAGTTCATCTCTCGGGATCTTGAACCAGCAGACTCACCTTCAAGACTGGCCCAAAGGAGTCCCTCGCAAGCCTTTTCACAAATATCACAGTATGTATTGAAAGAAACAACCTCCTCTTCTGAGTGTTACTTACTGAAGACGTTTCCCTCCAGGGCATCAGATTCTTCATTATTATCTCAGTCGATGCATCCCGGATCAGTGGCATTTCTGACGACCAACATGGCACACAACTCTCAGAGTATGTTTGCAAGCGTGGCTTCCAAGCTCTTTGAATTATTGGCGCTGACGAGGAGCAGATTACGGCTGGCAAAACAGGCCACCCCAGCCTCTTCATCCGACTTCAATGCCTATGGATCAACAATCATATCCCCAGGCACACACACTTCCACCCCAATCTGGTTACCCAGCAGCATATCCACCTCAGCATGCGACCTCACAGAGTTACTATCAGCCAGGACTTCCGTCTACACATTACCTCACCTCACAGCCGGGTGTGCCCCAGAGCCGACACCAGCCTCGAAGGTACCAATATCCGTACTACCTGAGTTAACTGGGATGAAAATTGATCGATTTCATAGTTCTTCCATTCCATATCCTTATCCCAGCGCTTCCGTATCTGGCAGCCCACCCACCATGCCAGATCCCTCTTTTACATCAACGTGAGGACACCGACTGCATCAGGAGACGAATCTTATGGCTAACTTGTTCCTAGGCCTCCTTCATACCTAGTCAACCAGCCAGACTACTACCTAACGCCGAACTCTTCACTCTCGTGAGTGGCCACGTTAGCCATCAAGTCTTCGTTCCACCTACTAACCATATTGCATTACCAGGCAAACCCCCAACTCTATTCCCCAACCACATAACCTGATGCCATCAGGGACAGTGTATTCCTCTCCCGAGTCCGCTCCCAGTTCCTCAGATCCAGACCAAGTTCGCGTTCTCAGTTTCCGGCCAAAACCTCAATGTTGGGACCACGGATGCAACGGGCGTGAATTTTCTACCTTCAGCAACCTGCTCCGCCACCAACGAGAGAAGTCGGGAGTGGTTGCCAAAGCAGAGTGTCCCATTTGTGGTGCTGTGTTCACACGCACCACGGCCAGAAACATCCATGTTGCTCAGGGGAAGTGCAAGGGGGTAGCAAGGGAGCCGTCTGCCGAATAAACCCCCACACAGAAGCTAGCGTCAGGGGCCATGGACATGGCATGAGCGTCTGGTACATGGGCTAGGACATCGCCGAACCTCGTGAATGCGGGCTTACTGTCGGGCTTCGGGCAGCAGCGTATTCTAACATTACACCGTCTAGGCGACGGACCCAGAACAGAGCACAGATCTGTACAGTGTACAGATGATGGGTGGATCAGAAGAGGGAAAGCCCCACACCACGGACTTGGGCCGATGGACACTTCGAGGAGTGTCCACTTTTTGCATATCAACTTCTCGGAACGAATATTCTTGCATGTGTCGTATTATTTAGTTGCATTTGTTTAATACCCTGTGAGATATCTTACACTGGATAGCCATTTGATCACTTTGGATGGGAGTTTCAATTCATCTACATCGGACTGTCCGTTTGCCGAAAGCATACTGCCGTAAGGACGGTCGCCATTTACATTTCCGGCTGTCTCTTAGCACAGTGGAGAACGAAGAAACCGAGTTAATGACACATATTGGCGAAAGACAGATAGCGCACAAGCGGGCTTCAAACACGGACCCCAAATACATTCCATTAATCACCGTGCAGTAGTGGACGCATCATTGCCGTGTTAGGCTGGGTCAAAGACCATAAGCACTAAAAGAGACCAGGCTTCCTAGTTCCCCTCGACAACTATTGTTCTGCTCGTTTTATCTGAAACCAAAGCCCCTGCAGCCGAAATACGATGCGGCTTAGCCACACTGTGGGCCTCAGGCAGTAACCCCTCACGTCTAGCACGTGTGGATGACTGGGCCCGTGACCTGACCCAGTCATGTCGTAAGGCGGGTACTCGATCGGGGCACCGTGTATTTACTCCGATGGATAGTCGCATCCCAAGGACAGGTGACTCACCATCAGCCTCCCCTCCAAGATGTCGCGTCATTGCTAACCGCCAGCTGCTGCAATTCGCCTCAAAACTGTCTAACTGTTTTTCTGGTTCCTTCTTTGGAGAATACATCCACTTTCCGACGGCTTTATCCGCGCCCTTCATCAATCTTTGACATGATACAATTCAAACTCAAAATGACTCTAACAGCATCAACCAACTACACACGAGGAAAAGTACATTTATTGAGCACAAAACAATTACGAGCACACCGAATATACCGAGGGGTCTTAATGATAGCCCACTGTTAGATATCAGCCATTCTTTGTCTATAAACCTACATTTGCCGGCCTTTGATTGCCGTCGAGCTTGTATTTACCATCATGGCATCTGTGTTCACATACGATCCTGACCCTCCGCGGGTCTCTTCTCCGTGGTCCACATCAGGGTCCTCGACCCCTCAATTCTCAGCAACTGGCAATCGCACGGTGCCTCGAGCACGTTCAAGTACGAACTTGGACCGCGCGGATCCTGATTCACTCTCCGATTATGGGATCACCAAACTGGACCCTGAACCCCAAGAGGGCCCCACAGAGTACAAGCTTCATTTGCTCCTACGCCCTCGACGACCCTATGTTTCCATGTCTACTAGCCACCTCGTGGGAGGCTCATATCACTCCCGAGCAAGCTTGTCAGCCGATAGTCCCACGCCTTCCAGCTACGAGTCAAACCCGAAACCGCAGCAGACTCGCTCGACTGAAAGCCGTCAGCAAAGGCTGCAGCATCTCACAACGCAGCTTCTGTGGCGATTACAGCAGTCTTCGCCCTTTCATTCATCTACGGCTGCAAATCTTGTACTACCAGTACTTCCAGAAGCAACAACCCAGCTAGGGGAGGCACAGAAACCTGCTCGTTTACTTCCCGGGCTAGAGGAGAGCCAGGGAGCTCTGTATGAGGTCGGCGTTGCTGATGATGGAACGTTTGTTGGACTCACTCAAGATGAGTTGGAGGAGAGCTTGTCCACTTTGCAGGTTATGGCCGCCAGCTTAGGCTGCAAGATAGATGTCTTACGCAGAGTAAATGTTGGCAGTTGCGAATGGGCTGAGGATCCCTACTCCGAGAACGTGGATACCGGTAAGGTCCATGCAGAACGCCTTTGGGTTGCAGAAGCGTTGGTAAGCCCTGACTGGGACTTTTATCGCGTCAAGTCTCCCAATAAAGGCCAGACGCAGGATGATTCATCTCCTGACAATGCGAAGGGAGAAGACTCGCTAGGCAGTTCCTCCAGTACTGAGCAGATCCGTATCTCCATTGCTGGCCCCAGCGCGGCCGGCAAGTCTTCTCTATTAGGTACTTTGACCTCATCTGTGCTAGACAATGGAAGAGGAACAAGCAGATTAGGTCTGTTGAAACATCGGCACGAAATCTCGTCAGGGATCACCAGCTCTGTTGCTCATGAATTGATCGGATATGCCGCAGATGAACCACAGGCACAAACTGTGGAGGTAATCAACTATGCCTGTGGCAACGTTGCAGCTTGGGATGATATCCACGCCGCCTCGGAGGGTGGGCGTCTAGCGTTTGTCTCTGATCTACCAGGTTCAGTACGCTATATGAAGTCCACGTTACGAGGACTGGTCGGTTGGGCCCCTCATTATGTCCTTCTTTGCATCCCAGCAACTTGCGATGATGAGGCTACTGCGGAATCTGGCCAATCTGCTGAGCAATCTGCAGACATGACACTTGCGTTATCACACCTGGAGCTCTGTGCTAAGATGGAGATTCCTACTGTTGTTGTTATTACCAAGATGGACATGGCATCCCGCTCAGGCCTGCGGAACAATCTTGCGAAAGTACTATCGGCTCTCAAGTCATCTGGCAAAAAGCCAGCGATGATGTCCGTTCCAACCGCCCAGGCAGTGGACCTACAGCGTACAGAGCCGAAGGATGCGGCAGAGGTGCGGAAGCTGATTTCCAATACAGAAAGCTGGGAATCGACTGTCCCGATCGTTCTTACAAGTGCGGTGGATGGCTCAGGCATAGGAAAACTTCATGCACTTCTTCGATACCTCCCCATTCCCGCGAAGCCGCCATCACGGGACATCTCATTGTCGAAGACACAAGCTGCTTACACCCTCCCTGAAGATATCTTTGATATTGACGAAGTATTCGCTATTCCGCCCTCCAAGGTATACTCAGTAGCTGCGGAGCAAGAAAGGAAGGAAGCTCATGGCGTGGTTCTTTGTGGTCTGGTGCGCTACGGATCTATTTCAGCAGGAGACGAGCTACTCGTCGGACCTTTGATGCCTAGCACATCTGACTCGGGAAATTGCTTACAGAGGCAGAGGAGTCGATCAGAGAAACGGCTGGACAGCATTCAGCATTCTAGCGCGAATCGCAGACCCGTTTCTGGGGATTTTTCAACCTCTTTTGTTCATGGCTCACTACCTGGGAAGTCATCTTTCCCACCGCAGGCATACTGGCAACGTGTCCGCGCAGTTAGTGTGCGGAATCTGCGACTTCCAGTTCAAAAACTGACACAAGACCAAGTGGGAACGATCGGAATAGAACCGTTGCCCTTGACTGCGAATGGGGAGGCGCCACGACTGGGAAGAATACGAAAGGGTTCCATCTTGCTCAAACTGGCAGCACCATCTGCTTCTATACCAAGAACCGTTCCGTTTCACACTGGCTTCGTAGCCAGCTTCCCGTCTAGCGAGTTCGCGTCTCCGCTGTCCCCGCCGGTGCTGCTGGGAGGTAATGCCACAGTATATGTGGCCAATGTTCGCACGACAGTGAAGTTGTCGAGCATGTCTCTTGCAGAGGATGAGGTCTTCTCCCGGCCATCGTCACCAACCGAACCGGAGTTCTTCAGTTTTGACGGCGACACTTCAGGCCACGAACGTGGTCACGAACCAGGGGTACAAGAGATGGTACAGTCGTCTATCAACCCAGGACAAGGCGATATCAAGATCACATTCGAATTTGTATCGTCAGTTGAGTGGATCGAGATTGGATCGAAGGTCCTTCTGATGCCCGGAACATCAGCAGCGCTGGCATCTGCGCAGGGGTCTAGCCAGTCTTCGGGACTAGAAGGCTTTCATGGTCGGGTGTGCGATGTTCTTTGTCTTGAAAATACTACTAGCATATGAGCCGTTTGGGGTGCTTGTTTTGTTTCGCTTTCTGTGAATGGCTTTTTAATTTTCTTTGTTGTCAGCAATTGTTATTGGAAAATATGCTTGTTTCATAGGGTATTATTTCTATCTCATAATGGATCGGATATATGCAGTACTTGTGGTAGAGTAAGCAACTTTAGTTGTGAGCGAGTCAGTATTGTAGATCATAGATATGACGACTATAGCAACCGTAAGCGTAAATCTAGCAAATGTCTAGTCACCGGTCCGGGGCCGCTGTCACGGGGAGGGGCGCTAGGCCCGGAAGGGAGGCCCCAACCACCGTCTCGCCGCCACCAAGTGGACAGCGTCCCACCGAGGATACGGATCTCCCAAGCTCTACTCTGTACTCCGTGCTCCTCTGTTTCCTTGCTCGGGCTCTCTTCAGACTTCAGACGGTACGAGAGTGGATTCCTTGCCGTGCTGATGTGTGGCATGCAGATCTGAGGCAAGTAGCATGCATCTGACCGCCGGTCCATGATTGGCGGTTTCTTCGTTGCGGTGCCATCTGGTCGATCTGCCCGTGTTCCCACCGGCGCCCCGTCCTCGACTGCTTCGTTTACCCCGGATCCGATCCCGTCACTTCCGCTCCTAGCATCCTTATTATCACTCCGGACCCTCAGACCTATTCAATACCGTCACTCCGAACGAGAGCTCTTGATTCGCAATTGCGCCACCACTCAGCGCCAGTGGCTGGTTTCCGTCTGGTGCTCGGAGCCCCTCCTCAGTCGGCATGGATAGCTACCATACATTATCCGCCAGCAGTAACATGGCTGGTCCCAGCAGCTTGTTTTTAGGATCGAGAGTCAGCTCCGATGTGGAAAATTTAACAGATGATGAAGAAGAGTTCATGTCCAGCGCCAGCACCACTTCTCATGGGTCCGAGGAATGGACAGAAAATCGATCTGAGCACGACATGAAGACAGAGGATACTTCGGTCGATATTCCGGTGACTCCACCCCGCAATAGCATTCAAAAGGATGTAGACTCGGGACCATGTCAAGGCAGTCATTCGGAGAGGGATGCGACACCTCTCTCAACAGCGAAGCGGCCTCTTCGGTTACTCGATATGCCCATCGATATATTACAGGTGATTATCAAAGAGGTACGGGCTATACTTGATCAACTGGCTGCGACAAGTCATAACTACCAACTAACACTTGGATGACTGCAGGTAACGCATACGAATGACCTCACATCTCTCGCTCTGACTTGCTCTGCCCTCCATTCATTAGCGATCCCCCAGATGTATTCTCGCTTTGATATCGTATGGCCGGAAACACTGTCATCCTCCGACCACCCGGCTGGCGTGGACGCTCTCTCTTACGGTCTTGCAACACTAGTGATGGGACAAGATATATTCCGCGAGCTACCCCCAAGGCGAGCGCAAACTTGTCCCCATTGCGGTTGCAATAGCCCTGCGCCGAGTCAAGATGACCCTACAGACACACTCTTGAAGATCCGTCGAGGCAACTACTATGCACAATATACTCGCAAATTCTCAGTCGGTAACGGTCCCCTTGTCTGGGTCCAAGAGTACTCTGTAACGAAGGAGACTGGCAAAATGTTGGGGACGCTAGTTGCTCTGGCTGTGGCTCGGATGGTCAACCTGGAGACGTTCGTTTGGGACATGCCAACCGGCGTTTTGAGAGATGTGTGGATAGCGCTTTCATCGCTAGCAAATCGACCCGGCCATGATTGTCGTCTGCAGCGCGTTTGGGTCCGTTGGCACGACAACTCTGAGAATACCATGCGTCCGTTGGCCGGGCCCTCTACTGCATCTTCCGTGACGCTTCCAGACACACAAGCATTAGCAGGGTCAGCTAGTAATTCCTCGCTACTACAGAGATATGGGCATGTAGAATACCCTTCTCTGTCGATACTCCCGCCGCTAAAGAGCTTGAGTGTCCTTGATATAGATGAACCGTCGTATCTCGAAGAAATGGCTGTACTTGTTGAGCGATCCAGAGACCGTCTGAAAGAATTACGTATTGGCATTTCTAGCAAGGTCTACCAAGCGTCTTGGTTGAAGCCGGCAGGAAGCTGGCAGGCTGAGCAGCCAACACCATCCCGCGGCCATTCCGGATGGCCGAAGTCTGGCGGCGTACTTGGGGTTGTTCTTGGAAGATCTGAGGAGCCCACACACCCCAGTCGGATTCAGGCAGATTCAGTGCCAAAGCAGGAGGCAGCTGAAAGTCATGCGGAGACTAATCAGCCGGAAAATCAGGCACTTTCTTTATTATATAGCACTCCAGGGTCTCCGTTGCCCGCGGACGACGTCGCTTCCATTGCCTTGAATATGCAGAATACGCACATAGCACAACAACAGCCGCCTATCGCGTCGGAGACTAAGTTGTCACGAGAGATTCCGAACTCATGCTCGGAAAAGCCTTTGGCTGTGCCGGGGTCCCGTCACCAGATATTGAAGCTCGATACCCTAGAACTCGAGCGCGTTCCTCTGTCGATTCCAGTTGCGTTGCACGCGCTGGACTGGGCACAACTGACAACCTTGACAATCTTTCGTTGTGAGAGCCACGAAAAGCTTTGGAGAGCGCTGCGCCGGCAATTTTCCCCGTCTGTGTCGTCACGCTCGAAACATAGTAGACGCGAAGGTGATCAGAGTGCCTCTGAGTATCGCTTGAACCTCAGGCATATCCACACGGATGCTGTGTCGCCATATCTGCTGCTGTTTATCAAGGATACACTCGCGCCCAACACGCTGCAAACCCTATTCCTACATGAGGCACCGATGTATGACTCGATCGTCCATATCGATGCCATCTACAAGAACGCTATTAAGACCCATCATCTCAGCCTGCAAAAGATATTGGTCGATAGCACCCAGCGGGCACCGGGGGGAAGCGAAATGCCCAGTGTGCGGTGGTACAAGTGGATGTTCACTCGCCAGATGCTCACATTTCTCAGCAGCGGACGTATGCCACGGCTGCGGGAGCTCTCTATAGCTCTGCACTCAAAGGACTGGGTAAGTACCAAGCGACCTCGTTATTTCTTGTACTAACGTCAGCAGCACTATTTCCTTCAAAGGCTACCGTATATGCCTCAGCTTCGCGCGCTCCATATCCCACATATCGCTCGGCAGGCTCACCGAGACCCGAAAGAACTGGCGATGATGATCCTGGATATTGTGACCATCCGTCCGGAGGTGGGCATCACCTATGTAGGCATACAAAACAAATGTTACGAGATCTTGGAGGCAAAAGAAGGCGACGCGGGAGAGTTCTATGACACAGACGACAGCCATAGCGAGGGGTTCGTGCCTGGGGGCGAGGAGTGGGCAGGATCAGACACAAACGAGGATGAATCTGACGACGACGGCGGGGTCAGCGCGATGGACTCGCACTCGGACCTGTCGTCAGACGACAGGATATCGTCAGACGGGGAGGGTTCTGAAATGGATTACAACAAGTCTCGAGTATCGTATCGGCTGCGAGAGATCTTGTTCTACGATGACAAGATCGCCATCTTCAAGGCGCGACATGGCGTTTTGTAACTTCCGGTTCCTTGGCAGGCGTTGGTGACATGTTCGGACTTTCTACAAGATACCATGAAGCGATTTCGGTTGGAACATTGTTAGCTAATCTAGGCATGTTAGCGATATTGGCTAGTCTTGTGCAATTAAGCATACTGGGACGACATAACCATCCTGCCTTGTATTTCGTAGACGGTCACGTGCCCGGGCGGTCAACCAAGCTCAGCCTCTGAGAGCCGCGATGTCGACAAGCGACCTCAACTCGACCCTGACGAAGCCGGCTAGTATTCGACTCGCCCAACCTATTTTCCCCATCTCTATACCCTGATTGAGTGCCTTTGCGCGTAAATCCACAATCATGAAGCTCGTCCGGTAAGCCAGCAGCTCCAGAGCGCCCGACGCAGCTCGTGCCCGCGAAGATTGCACAGCGACTAATTCCAATCCTCTGCACAGGTTTCTGATGAAGTGCGCCAACGAGACGGTGACGATTGAGCTGAAGAATGGTGAGTTTGACCCTCTAATTCTTCAGCGCTTGAAGATCCATCCACTCCAATACATGTGAACCATCAATTCTGACCGAAATAGGCACCATCCTCCACGGCACCATCACCTCCGTCTCCCCCCAGATGAACACCTCCCTCCGCACGGTCAAAATGACCCCCAAAGGCCGCGACCCTATTTCTCTCGATACCATCAACATCCGTGGCTCCACAATCCGCTACTACATCCTGCCCGATAGTCTGCCCCTCGACACGCTGCTGATCGACGACACGCCCAAGCCCAAGAACAAGGCGCGCAAGGAAGCCGACCGCGGCGGCCGTGGTGGTCGTGGTGGTCCTCGTGGAAGAGGGCGCGGTCGTGGCCGTGGTCGTGGCCGTGGATTCTAAGCCGGATGGGATTGGTATTAGACATTGCGATTTCATTTTTACTACTACAACTACTTGAGGATCGGAGTTTTTTTTTGTTTCTTTATGTGACTCTTTTTATCTCTTGTCTATCCTATGGCTGGGTGATTGATTTGCGCTGAATGGGTTCGACATGATACTGGTCTGGTCTGGTTCTGGGTGTGAGGGGATAAGCTGGACCAGGAAAATGGGTGAGAAAAGCGGCGGTGATTTACGAGGTCTCCTGGGTTGGGTTGGGTTGCGCGGTGGATTGTCGGGTCTAATTTATTTCATTAGACTCGAGACGAAACTGCAAGGCAGGTCGGTCGTGTCGGTGAATGACCGAGTCGAGTCGAATCGAATCTACTCGAGATCAAGAAGAGAAGAGTAGTAGTTTACTCTGCTGTATATCTATCTAATCAGTGGCCGCGACACAAACACACACGAAGAAGAACAGAAATATACACACTTCTTATGAAGTGTTGTCAGAAATCAATCATACCCTCGTCTATCATCTCGTCATCACTCATTAGTCTATCATCTATTTTCCCAGTAGTATATAACCCCCACCTATACACAACCTAAACCCCTAAGAAGAAGAAGAAGAAGAGGAAGAAGTGAACTCCCTCCAAACCCTCACAATAACCAACTTCTCCCACCCCGCCTGCACCCCACTACTCCCAACCAACTCAGCACACCACCTCGCACCCTCCAAATCCCCATCCCAACCCACAATCCTCTCCACCACCTCCCTCGGCCGATTCTGCGCACAAAGCAACACATACGCCACGCCCCTCTGACTCAACACCCTCGGAATATCCGCCAACAACCTCTCCGTGATCTCCATCCCATCTTTACCCCCCGCATACGTCAACGAGAGAAAATACGACTCTCTCTCGAACTTTTCACTCCTCGACATGCCCCCTTCCTTATCTCCTTCATCATTATCCTCCTTACTAGGTAACCGCGGCAAGTCCGGCGTCGGCACATACGGCGGATTAAACAGCAGGATATCGATCGAGTGAGGACGAATCGGGGAGGCGAGGTCGGAGGTAAGTGTTGAGGAGATGAGGGATTTGATTTGAGAGGTTTTAGAATCATCTGTAGAGGCTGATTGGGTATTCTGGGATTGTTGTTGCTGCTCCTCAATCGCCTTCAAAACCGTCTGTCTCGTCGCAAGACATGCATTGCGGTTAACGTCCGTGCCGAGGGCAAGGACATCAGTGCGGCCGAGAATGTGGTGGGAATTTGCGGTGAGGAAGGCGAGGACGACGCCGGAGCCGGTACCGACTTCGAGGAGGAGTGGGGAGGGCGAGGATGTTGATGGGGAGAAGTGGTTCGTGAGCCAGGCGGATTCGCTGGATGAGGAGAGGGTGTCCAGGAAGAGGTAGGAGTCTTCGGAGGGTTCGTAGATGGTGTCGAAGGAGACGTGGGAGGTGCAGGGGGTGGGGAGCATTTTTGTCCCTTTTCTCACTTTTTCTTATTGCTGTTTCTTTATTGGTGGATTGGAAGGAATCAGGGAATTGGTATATAGTGGGATGATAATGGACAGTTGAAAAGAATATTGTAAGTATCGATTGAAACTCCGATGAACGAACCAATCATGGCCTCCCAAAAACGGAGTGCTGGTTGCTTTGGTTTCTCCGCCTTGGAGGGATCCGCGGCAGTAATCGCATTTCATCATTCATTCATTCCCCGACTTCGTCTACTTACAATTGTCACTTTACCTCCCACCTAACAGACCAGGAAAAAAAGAAAGAAAGAAGATCAACATGTCCCAATTCCTCCGCTTCACCCCCACGGCCGCCCGCCGTCTCGCCACGCCGTCCACCTTCGGCTCCAAATCCAGCCTCTCGGAGACCTTGGCCCTGCTCCCGCCGCTGCAGCTCTACCGTCGCATTCTCCGCGTGCACCGCAAGAAACTTGACCCCGAGATGCGGATTCTAGGTGATGGCTATGTGAAGAGTGAATTCCGGGCTCATCGGAATGTGGATAATCCGTTGCATATTGTACATCCCATCCCCTCTTACTTTGATGCATATTGAGTGTGTGGATTGCTAATGATATGGTGATGTGGTGGTAGATTGGTTTCCTCACGGAATGGCAATTATATGCGCAGAAATTGGAGGGTGATGCGTGGATTGGGGAGAAGTTGGATAAGGGTAAATTGGATAAGATGAGTGGTGAGTTACTACTTCCTTTTAGCTGGAGTTACTGCCTATCAGGTGGTGTGGTCTGGGATAGTGGTATATGCTAATTTGGAGATAGATCAGCAGATTGGGCAGTTGTATGAGCTTATGCAGGCGATTCAGAATAAGGATGGGGAGGGAGAGGGGGAGGGGGAGAAGCAATGATTGATGAGGTTATTGCAGGGGAGGTAGGTCTAGAAAGTATGGGGAGAGGTAGAGTTGGGATACCCGGATTGTATGATATGGTATAAGTTGATGGATTGTGTAGATTATGTATATAGAGGTTAATCAGATGGTTGTAGAGTACAACTGCCAGATGACTATCAGGTCTTTATATAGTAGAAATCGATATGAATTAGATAGAATGATAACTGCAACTATGGAATTCACAGAAAAAACCAGCTCTAGAATGTCAAATATACTCAAGTTACTACATAACCCATATCAAATGTCATCAACCTACCAAAAAAGGTGCAATAAAAAAGCTGCTATAAGAGACCATACAATCTACCGAACAACCGGAAACCACCCGAAATATCCGATATCCGAGATCGGGACTGATAAGCCCAAACTGACATGCAGGAAGCAGATATGCATGTCCATCCCTCATAAGTCATAACATGCTTGATCATAACACCAGAATATAGTAAAGTAGACATCAGTTGATAGCCATTCCCAATGACAATCAACAATCTATTCTACACTACATAGTACTACCACTCGCCACACCCACTCACTCTCCAACCAAAGAAATCCCATGGCAATATATGGTACAAACCCCCCATCCCACTGCCCCACCGTACCTGAAAAGAAAGAATAAAACCAGTCAATCCTATTCCAATGCCATACTAAAAATCTTACTTATGCACGCCCTACCGTCGACATCTATCTCCATTCCCCACATCAAACCCATACATATAACCCCAACTGATCCCCTCACCATCCCACTCCCTCTCCAACTCCAACTCCCTTCTTCCCTTCCACCTCATCTCACCACACACACCCTTATACAATACACCACCACCACCTCTCCCATATCCCAACAAAGAAAAAGAACCAACAAAATGCCCTCCCTCCTCGAAGACCCCACCACCCACATCCCCCCACCAACCCCCAACCCATCATCCCTCCCCCCCATCTCCCGCACCCTCCGCGACAACACCCGCATCACACTCTACCCCATAACCACAGGGCCCGACTCCCTCCCCTCCTCTCTCCTCCACTACCTACACAAGGAATTCTCCGAAGAGATTCTCAAAGGATGTACCTATCCCATGGAATCGCCCCTCGAGTATGACCTGTACCGGACGTATTGGTTTGGGACGTTTGCAGTGGTTGCTGTTGTCGATGACGGCGAAGGGGATGGGTTGAGGGAGGGTAGGGATTGGGAGAGGGTTTGTCTGGGGACGTTTTATGTGAAGCCGAATTATCCGGGTATTTCTCTCTCTCTCACTCTCTCACATTTTTTTGATTTGATTGATATGATATATGTGGATTTGGGGATAGGATAATATGTATGTATGTATGTATGCTAACTGGTATTGGGTTTGGATAGGACGCTGCTCGCATGTTTGTAATGCCGGGTTCTTTACGACTCCCGCGGCGAGAAATCGTGGTGTTGGGAGGGTTATGGGTGAGGTTTATTTGGAGGTGGCGCCGAAGTTGGTATGTTTTTTCTTTATTTTTCTACATTTGAGGTGGTTGGGGGATGGATGGTTGGGTGGTGCTAACTCTGGGTAGGGATATAAATACTCCGTGTTTAACCTCGTCTTTGAGAATAATGTTGCTTCCGTCAAAATCTGGGAGAATCTGGGATTCCAGGTCATCGGTCGTGTGCCGGGTGCTGCGCGTCTGGCGAATAGTCCTGATCTCGTTGATGCGCTTATCATTGGGAAATCCTTGGTATAATCGAAACGAAAATAAAATAATATACATATATAATATAAAGTGTATTGCAATTAAAACATACCCCAATACATGAAGTCGCTCCCTTCAATCAATGAAATACTCCTAAATCAATGCGAGTGGGGAATCAATCTAACAACCGGCTTCAAGCAATCTGGTATCTGACACCACTGGCTCCCGAACCGCAATGCCAATATGCATAGTACATGAGTGTGTGTGAAGTTAATGCGAGATCGAACAACGGAAATGCTAGAAATCAAAGACCCCCGGAAATGCTATGTCACATAGTATGGTATCTTCCCGATCACCGCCATGGCGGCCGCTCTCCGAGCTTGCTGCGAGGCGTCGGGTTGTTCTTCGGCAATGGGATCAAGCTGATCCGCCGGTTCGCGGAATGCCCCAGCGCGGTGCCTGGCCGCGGCGTCTTCGTCGGACTGGCAATGTTTCGTTCGTGGTCATGCGACACACTGCGGCTGAACGACAGCCCCGCAAAGCTCTGTCGGCTGCGCGGCGCGTTCGACATGCCGTCGGGCCGCCGGAGCTTGCTGTAAGGAGGAGGGTCGAGGATAGATCGATTAGGTGTAGGAGAGCCCATGCGCTCCGGGCTGCGATTCGTCAGGCGGCTGGAAACACGACTCATAGAGCGCGCCGTCATCGGTGCCGGAGAGACGGACATGTCGCGCCGGAACGGTCCCATGGGTATAGTCGACGAGGGCCGCGATGTGCGGCCAGAAGCAGAGGGCTTGCGGGGAGTAGGATTGGGTTTGTACACGTGGCCGACATATAGGTCGTTCGTGTTGGTGCTGTTGGTCCAGCGCGGACGATTGGGAATGGGGGACGGCGCCGGCTTGACAGGCTTACGCGCAGCAGGGGTGGGTGTGGCGGCGCCCATCCGACTTGGTGACGGCGCAGTGAGCGAAGGCTTGGGGAGAGACGACTTCTTGCTGGTCAGCGCGGCCGTCGCCTGCGGGATGCCCGAGTACCGTCGCATCTTGGACATTGTCGTCCGCGCTGCTGAGCTGACCGAGCTGCCACGTCGACTAGACGTTCCCATAGGCGTGGCAGAGCCCTTGAGGGGGTTGGCGGGCGTCATCACCACTGACGATGCCGGAGAACTTCCTGGAGTATCGGCGACACTGCCGGTCAGAGGACTGTCCATCGTCATGATACTGGAGATCGAGTCCCGGAGATGCTGTGATCGGACAAAGTTAATGTCCTCTAGCCACTCATCCATCACCCGGACACTCGCCTTCAGGGCGTCGATCCTCGAAGTCATGTCCGACAGCAGTCGCAGGATCTCTCCGTTCACCGTCAGTCGGTCATCGACACCCTTGCGAATAATCGACACTACCCGCTCAATTGCTGCCACATAGTGCTGCTTCTTGGCCTCGTAGCTCTCAATACGTTTCGTAAACAACGTTGCATCATGCAGATGGGCGCATGTCTCGATGGCCTCCTGCAGTTTTGCGATGCTTCGTTCCACCGAGTCGAACATTTTCTGCGCTTGTCCACCCGCGTTACGGAACACAAGGATCCACCGGTCCTCGTTAAGCTCCTTCTGCAGCGCATCTGCATCCTGCTCCAGCTTTTGAAAGCTCTGTTCAAGATGGCCCCGCCGCTCCTCGAGCTCCTCACAAGCGCTGGGAAAGATCCTCTCAGCCCGCGCTTGGAACATGGACATTCTCATCGGCAAGAAATCAAGCGACGCTCGCAACGGTTGTATTCGTGCAAACAGCGCGATGAGGTTCGAGTGATTCGTGTCGTCATGTGGCGTCTGAATAACCGGCATGTCCATCGTCGGTGGCCCGGTAAGGATGGGATCTATACTGAGTCGTTTGCTGGACAGCAGTTGCGCCTGGGATGGGGTCTCTTCCACGATGGTCTCCAGCTCATTGATGTCGAGCCCAGAGGCGCTAGAGTCCTGCTCGCCTGCCAGCGTCCAGTGCCGTTTTTCTTCCATCTCGAAGATTAGCCCGGTGAGACTCTCTACCTCCACTGTCACATCGCCCAAGACGTTTCCCCACAGCTCTTCCCACTCCATTGCCAGCTCAACCTGTCCTTTGACTCCCCGGAGGCGATTCTTGATGTTGGCCCAGCTTTGTATGATCGTGTCCATCTGCACGACGATCGTCTGGAGGCTATCGGTACTCACGTCGCCAATATCCTCGCGCAGCTGCACTTCCTCGATCGCTCTGACGTAGACGTTGATCAGGCTCTCGAATCGGATGATCGCCTTGTCCACCCCCTCCAGACCTTCTCGTCCGGCCGCAGCTGCCCACTCCACGTCATCCTCTGCATCCAACCCCCCTAGCACATCCGAGGCCTTCTTGACCCATATTTGAATTTGCTCTGCCGCTCCGGTGAGCGCCCGAACCGCCGCAGGGGCGGTTGCAATGGATGAGATACTAGCCTCGAGGGACGACGGTTGCGGAAGGGGAATGGACGTGAGCTGGGAGAGTTGGTTGCTAAACGAGGCGCGAGAAAATGAGTAGATGGACTCTGTGCGCTGCAACCCCTGGGGGTTGAAGTAGGATTGTGAGCTTAGTGAAGTGGTCGATCGTGGGCGCGGAGAGTCTTTTGGCGGTGGCGGGGGTGGATTCGAATCGTCTTCATTGGTGCTCTGTATGTACTTCTCAAAGTCTGTCTGCTCGGGGACGTCAGGTAAGGGCGCTGGCCTATGCTCTAATGGCGCTGGAGCATGCTGAACGACAGACATGTCGGTTCGGGGCTCTTCCAGAGTAGCCTCTACCTCAACGGCCTCGTCAGCAACGTCTTCTGCACTTTCTTCCACAAGTTCTTCTGCAACGCCTTGCTCCGCAACAGCGTCTTCTTCGATAGGGTCTTCTTCGATAGGGTCTTCCTCGATAACGTCTTCCCCAGCAGCCTCAACCTTCACAGCCTCTTCAGGCTCTTCGGCCTCTTCCGACAGCGGGACCTCTTCTTCCAGCCCTTGATCCAGAGGCAGATCCAGGGGACGATCCGAGTCGGGCGTGGGTAACTCCTCCAACTCCTCTGGGGTTTCTTCCGGTAGCTGCGGTTCGGGGACCTCTAAGTGGTTGGAATCACTTCCGTGAGATTTCTTATCCTTGTGTAGCCGAGGTAGAGCATTCCATGAGCGACCCTTCCTTTCGATCTTAATGGATTTGGATAAATCCTGATGCGACTTGTCGAGTTCTTTGATTTGTTCCTCGGGGATCCGACCGACGGCACCGGGGTTGCGAGAGGGACTGTTGTGTTTGTTACTACCGTCTAGTAACTTGACGCGGGCAGCCAGGCCGGGGGACAAGCGACGGAGAATTGACGGGCGGACAAGAGTCTTGTCGAAACCGAGGTCGTGTTGTTGGTGGTGTTGTTGGTTATCGTCGGGTTCACTGCTACTGCCCAAGCTGCGGAGGCTTCGTAGGGACGACTTGGACTTGATTCGTCGCGGTAATGACTGGTCGACATGGGAGATAGACAGGGCGGGTGGAGGAGGAGGAGGAGGGGAGGAGAAGAACTGCGACGTGGACAGGTTGGCCCCGGCATCCGGGGGGTGGGTGGTCGCAGTGGTAGCCGTTGACGCGGTGGACATGGCACGCATGGATGCGATCCACGAGGGGGATGGGCGCTGGCCTGTAGGATGCCAGGAACTAGTGTGTTTAGTGAAGAACGACGGTGGGTAGAGGAATGTGGTTGATGGGCTGAGGATGCGCCAACGCTGCGGCCGGGCTATGTCAGCTAGTATGTGCTTGGGTAGTAGTAAGTAGAAAGTAGTGTAGTTTGCCTTCCGTTCCCTGTCCGTCTGCTGCTGCCCCTATCCGGTTTCAGCCTGTCAGATAATAAGAATGGAGTAATCGGGCTGTGAATGTGTAGGCGGTCGGGCTACACCGTCTGTGCTCTTTGCTTGTCTTTCTTGCTTTGCTTTGCTTCTTTGTCTTTTTTTTTTCTCCAACACCAAGGTAAGAAGAACTGCTTTTTGACAAGAATGACTGACTACATGATAGACGATTGGGCAGCAGAGGGGCGGACATAGCAAGGGAAAGAAGAGGGAGGGAGAGAGAGAGAGAAGAAGGAGGTCAAGCCAGTTGGAATGAAGGATAAGCGGCAACCTGTCCCTTTCGGGCTCTCAGGCGGGCAGCCGATCACCCGTTTGGGGGGAGGAAATAGTAAGGAATAACCGGGGGATAATCCCCTCAAGTCTCCCTTTCAGTCGTCAGTAAACTCTATCCTCGAGGGAATGGTAAATAACCAAATTGACTTTGGCCTGACCGTTACACCAGTCCGGTTTCTTGGGTATTTTTCCCTGTCTTCCATCTCCTTGGATCTTTCTTCCTCCCGTCTGAGTGGCGTTCGGTTGGTTGGTTTACTTTGTTTGTATGGTTCTCGTCTCGAAACATGGCATTCTCGCTACCAGCCAGCCATTCCTATGTACACTTCCATCCATGGATCCCTCCCGCGACCCCGTGCAGGATAGATTAAGTAAAATGATCGGACAAGATAAGAAAGAAAAAAAGGAAAAAAGAAACAGAAAGGTGTGCTCTGCACCGAACACAACAGTCCCATGGACTGTAGATGACCAAAAGTTGAATTTATACGCTTCTCCCAGCTTGACGTGGCTGGGAGGACAGCAGAAGAAATGAGGAGTGACACCAAAAAATATTCAAATCCGACTGCACTCCGACAAGTAAGGGGTATCAATGGGCGTCGGAGTAGACAGCAAACAAACGCAATAACCAGTCGCCATACGTGGTCCCAATCAGTTCCAACCAGTCCCAATCATTACAACTCTCCTTTCCTCCCTCTCCAGCGAAGTTGTTAGTTACTCATGTAGACCCTTTCTTTTCCCAAGTTCCCCCTCACATAGGCCGTACCACCAGATCGTCGGGTGGAAGGCTCGCTGCTGAAGCTCGCCTCTCGCGCCAGTCTCGAACGAGCTCCTCGCGCACCACTTTACACCAGGCCAGAAGAGCCTGATCGAACTGTTTCCAGGCCTCTTCACTGTTGCCATGCACAATCCCCATCACATCCATCTCCAACTTCGTCTCCCACCGGAGCTCGGCCGCCTTCACCCAGAAGCGAAGGTTTTCGGCCCGTCGGTAGGGCTTGGCCACATCCTGATGGTAGGTTTTGATATCGAGGAACGGCCGCTTCGAGTTCTTGACGGCAAAATTATGGGCGCGCACCAGGTCGCGTCCATCCCGCAGCCGTTCCAGCATGGCGGGTGGCGGTGAGCCATCCTCCGGCGCAGTCCATGTCGGCAGCTGCGCGTCGGAGCCGATCAGACTACGCAGGAACAAAGTCTCGCGCTCGCGCTCCTTACCGATCCATTCACCCTCGGTCCAGATCCAGGCGGCTCGCTCTTTGGCTTCAAATGATTCCAGTTGAGCTTCCCGGGCCAACATATCACGCACGTTGGCCATCCATCCGACAATGCCAGAGCGTTCATCCTCGCGAAGGCCGTCTGCAAAGTTTCGGGAGGCCCACCGCTTCAGGACCTCCAGCACATTGAACAGCTCTTGTCGTATTTCGCGCTCGCTTTTGATCTTCGCCAGTCGATCGGGCCGCTCATGCGCAGTGTAGTAGATCTTAGCGGCTCGGATCGCAAAAGTGACAGTGTCTAGGACCCGCATGCCCTGGATCTCTTGCCAGGTCTGCGGGGTTGCTTCTGCAGGCGCCTGACGCGAGGGGTCTTCCGCAGCGTCGGGCATATCGTCACTCGAAAGACTAATTCGCGGGGGGATCATCTCCGCCGGTGGTTCCTTTTGAGCATCGATCGACTCGATACTGTGTTCTGCTTTCTCCAATGCGTCCCGCAGATCCTTCCGCAGAGCCTTGAGTTTAGGTGGGGGCGGGATGTGATGCGTTTTGATGCTGTAGGTACTGACCGTGGGAGGAAGCATGACTTCAACATCCTCGTCATACACCTCCTCCCTAGGATCTATGCTTTCACTTTCGTCATCGGTGGGACTGGCACTGGTCGGACTGAGGGTCAAGTCATCGATAAACCGAGCGTTGGGGGTCAAGAGCAGTCGTGGCATATCCTCCGGCTTCTTTTTCTTTTTGAATTCCCTAGCCTGGGCACCTTTGCCGTCCAGTAGACCGGTTCGTGCAAAGTAGTATTGCAGATGAGCGATGCTACCCAGACTCATGACACTCTCCCGGTTTTTGGCGGACTCCGCAAACTCGACCCCCTGAGGGCGAATGTATCCTCGTCGCTTGGAGGAGATGGAGACGGAAGACCTGGCATCGGCGGAAGTGGCGGAAGAAGTCGACAGAGAGGAGATGGTCGAAAAGGTACGATCTGGTGAGGGACAGGACGAGATAGCCGGCGTCGCTGGGATGGAGGGGGAGGGCGACGAGGCTCGGACAGGGGCCATGAATTCGGGCTCGACAGATTCATCCATATTGGGTGTATGCTAAGCTTTGGACGATGCGTTTGATGGGAAGGGTTGGCACTTTCGCAGACGATAGATCTCAACGGTACGGCGTTGGAGGGCACAGATCCGGTTTGGGCGAGAGATGGGATATGCCTCACACTAAAGCAGGAAAGGACAGGTGGTCGTCGGGGGGGAACAGGAACCGTTTTGACGTGATTAAAAATAGGGATAGGGCCTCGGATGAGTGACTGGTGATGGTGATCGATCGGCCGACGAATTTAATTTGGGCGTGACTCGAAAGGGGGATTTTTACCACTAAAAGGGGAAGCGGGTCGATGGCCGCGGTGCCAACTCGTCGGCCACCGGGAGTTGTCGTGGTACTTTCTAGATAAGTAGTCCTGCACTGTTATTTATAGTAGTACCGATTGCTTTCTTTTCTTTTTTTGTTCTTTGCGCTCTGCTTCATTCAGCTCTCCCCCTGAGGTAGGGCTGTTCGCCTCATCACTCGAGTCAGGTTCATAAATCCGAACATCCAGATATCCACCTCCTTTTGGGAAGTGCTAAGAGGGAATCATGCAAAGCAGTCCCAAGAAAGTCATCCGGCCGGGCGGCCCTTGTCCTGCCTGGGCTTAGCGTCCCCCCGGTGCCTGGAAGCCCCGCATCCAAACTTCGGCACGGTTTTCCATCCATCTTTGCGCTCAGGAACACCCGCTCCCATCACTACTGGTGGGATATATCACTCCTGATCATCTCGGAGCGGAAACTTGAAACATTATCCATGTTCATAACATCCATTGTCGTCATCATTGAGAGGAGATCTATTCGCTGAATTGAATGTGCTAATCTAAAATTTTTGAAACATCAACACCAGGTCGATAAGCCAGATGTTGCACTGACAATAATATGCTGACGCTCAAGCCGCATTGTAGACCCGGTCCAGCCGGTTGTCTATGAAAGAAACCAAATATCTGGCATGTGAACTCAGATCACTTCCTCCCGCTCCCATCCAGTGGGTTTCAGGTCTGCAATCCCCTTGTTCGGATGCGCCTTTGTCGGATCTTTGTACTTGGCGGCATATGGGTTGGGGTCGATCGCCTGGTTTAGGTTTCCCAGTGTATGGTTCACCTCCCGGTGTTTGGCTTCATCTGCCCGAACATACAGCAGAAGATCCTTCATGCTGCGCTGACCCTCTGGCATCTTCCAATACTGCACAGCGATCTCGGGGGCCTCCGTCTTCTCCCATGCGGGAAGACTTCCCGCTTCAATCTCCTTGATTGCGCGTGTATACGTGATCACCGCTTCCTCCTCGAGGTATCCGACGAACCGATGGCAGATGCGTGGCGACATGAGGTAAGACAGGAAGAATCCGTTGAAGAAAACTCCCTGTGCTCCAAGGACCATCAGGCGCATGAACCATCCGGGCTCTGCGAGCTTAAGGAAGGTCAGCAAATGCATACGCTCGTTGTATGCTTCCTCCAGCAGTGTTTCAATCCTAGACGTGGTCAGTGTCTGTCATCTTTGACAATCACGAGATGTAGCATACCATCCATTATCTCTCTTCATGCGCCGCAAACTTCTCAGATGTCTCAGCATGCCTCCCACCATGCCTGGTACGCCAGCCACGCTTTCCAGGAAGATAAAGCGCGTAAGCCACTTCTGCTCTGTCATTTTGAACCTGGCCTCGTGTTCCCTGCCTGGTGGAGGGTGCCGATATCCAGTCACAAGATCCATGCCCCATCTCAGCATCCGCACCGTTCCCAACGCAACCCAGTCGGCCCAATTCTTTGCGTCTCGGTGCGCGATTGCGACTTGTTTCATCTGCTCTTCCGTATAGCTGGTATTGTCAGCTCCACTCACCATCATGCACGCGCGAAATGAACTTACACAGGATGGACCCAAGCTGTCTCCACCTCTTTCACATGAGGAGCAGTCGGGGGAGGAAAGAACTCCTTGATCTGCGACTTCGGCGTGGTTGATATGAATCGCTTCCCAGCTGTCTGATGTCTATTTGCCACCAACGACCCGCTACAGCGCAGACCGCTCATAGCAATGACACCGGAGTAATTTCGAGTAGCGATATGCATATATGACTTTGGAATGGCAGCCCGAATGGGCGCCGTGGCTGTTAACGAGTTCATTGGGTATGAAAGCAGTCGGTATGCTCGTAGTAGAAGGTAATATGAAAAGCTCAGTAGTAAAGTATTCACTTATTGCTTGATCGATATCCTATGTATCAGACTGATTACATGTACCACCCCCTCTAACCCCCCATCCCTATTTATACTCTTCAGCCCCAGCAAAAATTTTCAACATCTATCCATTCATTGTCTCGTATCCAGGGTATGACTCTACAGGGCAGAAAGGGTCGGCAAAAGCCGGGAGTGGCACTGGCGCCCGGAACCATACATACAAAACGGCAGGAGTGAGAAAAAGTCACGCGGATCGAGAAAACCCGGATCCATCTACTATACCAAGACATCAGGACCCAGTGGAGGCTTTTGACCCTGAGATTTTTTATCTTAGCATTAACAACTCAAATTTGCTCAGCCACGTCTGCTGTAGAGATTTCCAAGCAATTTTCGTATCCATGGATAATGGGTGTTGATTTTGACAAGGGGGTATGTTTTCTTTACAAGGTCTGGATTAGTTGCAGGATTGCCGCTGTTGTCGCCACGTCAGGGACGGTATTTGAGGTTTGACCTTAATGACATTCTATGTTTATCGCTATCGCTGTTGAGTTGATCGTAGGCCTGATATCTTCTCTTTTGAGAATAATCAGGTTTGCACGGTAGTAGCTAAATTACGTCGTAAAATACAAAGTGTCAGATATGCTGTAAGAATGGAATGCAGGAATTCGAAGATACTACTAGTTACCAGTGGTCAGGCCTACTTCGAAACTTCCTTTCCGATCTTACAGTGCAATCGTCCTGCATAGTCTGCCTGCCTGCCTGCCTGCCTGCCTGCCTTGATCACCACCACAGGGATACACAAGACGTAAACTAGCGTTAACAATAGCCCAAATACTACAGGCTCGGCATCGAACTCCCCCAATCCAAGTATGTTCACCGCAGATCCTCTATCGAGAACCATTGAATTTCCAGGTCCCAATAGCCTACCTCAGCAACTATTACTAGCGGTTACAATCACTAGGTAGACCGACTCCCTCGCATTGATTTGACATTTGTAACCAAGTTAAGCTTCCAAGCGCCTGCATATCCCGGTGGGTCATCCAGCGCAGCCTAGAACTTACATAGAAGGTACGGGATGTATGGATTGCCTTATCTTAGAGCTGCTCGATGACCACACCTGAAAGTTGTATCTTAATTATGAGTATATGGGTAGTTGGTGTGCTCTGTCTACTCTCGAAGTGGAAGCAAATTTGAAATCCTTCCCATTATCTCTCTACCTGAAGATGAAGGGGAAGATATTTCGGCGTAAGTTCGCTGCTGTTATCTGATTACGGGCGACTCCTTGTAATCTTGGAGATCTGGGCTGGTCCCCGTGACCCGGGGTCCCCTTGTTTTACGTAGTTCTTTCGGCATTATGTATGCTCGGCGTCTGTTGAACGCGAATTCCGTGACTTACTTCTTAGTTAGTATCTTGCTCGGGGTGGGTAATTTTTAATCGGCGACTCGGGGGTGGTGTATGGGGGTATGGGTTGTGGTTGATTGGTGGTATCTGAATGGGGATACTAGATCGACTGTTATGAAAGGTTGCTTGAAAACCTCTCTTTTTGCTGTACTGCTTTGGATAACTGTATACACATTGTGATAGAGCTTGGTAGTCAGGACGTAAGTTGAATATGATCTTTACAATAAATAGTAATTTACATTCAAGATACCCAAGTAAGTTGTGACCCCCTGTGTTCTATGGCAGGTCGCCTTACCGGGAGAACCCGGAACGCCGTTTGAGTCAAGGCATGCCGAAGATAGTTCGGGATTGCGCCGGGGTCTGCTCGCTCCATTCATTCCTGGCCTTCGACGTCAGACAGGGGCCGGTGAACATATTAGAAATAGACTATTTGTTGTTGCTCCTGCATTTTCCGTTTCATGTTGTCATCGAATATGAAGATGTTGGCTTGGCTTTCAGATGACTTTTCAATACGAGGGTTGTCGGAAGGGCTAGGATCAATAATACATCATCGTCTACTATAAGTAGTTCGTGTCAGAAGGACAAACAAGAATTTGTTTCAAAGCGGTACACTATAAACAGAAAGAGATGTATTTGGAAAGAAATTATATCACTGCATAGCCTCATACCCCGACTCGGAAGTCTTCATGAAGCCGAATTCTACCTCGCCATCCTTTGGTGCGATTTCCTTCTTCTCTAGCTTGACGACATGTGCATGGCGGGGACCGTTGTTGATGTCTTTCAGGAACTTCTGTAGAGAGTCTTCGGTTCCTTGGGCTTCTCCTTCTACCTGCATGGTATTAGTATAAGTATCTCACCTGATATTAACATGACAGGAGGCTCAAAGAAAGAAAAGAGAAAAGTATCAGATACGAAGTAAAAAGGGACAGCACACACCCTTCCACAATGTGTGTTCTTCACCCAGCCTTTTACATCATATGCAGTGGCTCTCTTTTGAGTAAAGTCCCTATAGATCGCAGCGTGCTTAGCGAGAAGTGCATCTATAGCGTGCAGAAGGCAGGGTATAGTCACCGGAATCCCACTCCTGCCAGTTTATGTGTTAGATTTTTCTGCTACGGAAAAAATGGTCTCACTGATATTGCTTAGGAGTATTGACGTGAACTTGCCTTGGACCGTGCCAGATACTTTGAATGCGATCTGGGGTAGTTGTGTTAGTCCATCTGTTATAGATGACGTAGCGACCCCGGGGAAGGGTGTATTGTGTGTTGGGCTAGGGTCTTGGGGGAAAGCCTTACACGTTGCGATGCCATCTTGATAGATGTATATGACCTTTTCCAAAGCATAAAGAAGATATCACCGACTTTTGATGTCTATGGACTGGTTATTGTTCTCTTGAACCTGGTGAGGCAGGCTATGGCTTAGTCATCTGATATCATGAGGGGGTGCGACTGTGTACGCTAGTCTCGATTTGGTCAGATATTGTTCGTGGCCAATCAATGCCTGTTTATCTGGATTAGTCACTTGTCGAGCCAGTTCAAGTGCACGATAACTACTAGTAATAAGTTGTAATTAGACCCAATCTATGGCTATTAGATGAATTCTGAAGAAGATGTTACTTTATGTAATGAATGTTATTTCAAGTGGTATCAGTGCTTCCTGTTTTGGTATGCAGTGCTGACAGCGGCATAACCAGCAGCCCGTGACCCCAGCGGAGATCCGCCCCTGAGCCAAAAATGGAATCCGCGATGATCTCCCCAACATCCGTCCCTGTTGCTCTCCGCACTCAGTCCTTACGGTGTCTCCCCTCTTCCTTTGTCTTTGAGGGGTTGCACTACGCAATGCTAGTGCTAAGATGCCTCTTTCAGTACTCTCGTGGCTTCGGAGATTATACTCCCTTGATACTCTAGATACCCGCCTTACTACCTCTTCTACTACTCCGCCCAAAGCTGCCGCGGGTCACACGCGAGCTCCCTCCGCCAGAGATGCCCGTGCCATTGCGATTGCGCGCAATGCTCCTCCTCCGAAGTGGCGAACTTTTGAGTTCTACATCTACTATGTGATCTTCTTGATCGCTGTGCCGTTGATGTTTATTACGGCCATTGGGGTATCGCAGAGTAAGCCCGAACCACTTTCTGCTGCAAGAGGAGCAGCTATGCTGACTTGATTATGTAGAGAGCCACCCTTCATATCCAACTTACGCTCATCTGCTGTCGCCTGGCTGGATACCCGGACGTCAAGTTGTAAGTAACTCGTGTAATTATTCAATGTCAGACGCTGACTTCTTGGTTCTGCTAGGACAACTCCGATGACCAGTATTCCTCGTTCCGCGATAACATACCCTACCTGTTGCTGCTATTAGTCGGTCACCCATTGCTTCGACGTCTATACAACAGCTATGTACGCCCAGTCGCCGGAGACACCGGGTCCTCTAAGGCTTCTCCGGCAGTCCTTGCTGCGGATGCTCGTCTCACCCAGCGGATAAGCTTCGACTTCTGTTTCGCGCTCGTCTTCATCACAGCCCTTCACGGTGTTTCCGCGCTGAAGGTCCTCGCAATTCTTTATGTGAATTACAAGATCTCCAAGAATCTCCCCAGGAAGTACATCCCTGCGGCAACTTGGATGTTCAATATCGGAACGCTGCTTGCGAATGAACTCTGTTCCGGCTACCATTTGGAATGGGTGGCCTCTTTGTTCGTGTCTCCGAGTAGTGCAGACAAGGAAGCGCCCTTGATACTCTGGGGTCGCTACCTTGATGGTTTTGGTGGTATTATGCCCCGATGGGAGATTCTCTTCAACATTACGATCCTTCGATTGATTAGTTTCAATATGGATTACTATTGGAGCCTCGACTACCCAGCTGCCAGTCCCATTGAAGTAAGTCCATTTCCCCTGCGGTACGGGACCCAAGCTGACAGAGATAAGAAGAAACAAGTCGATCCTGCAGCACTGTCAGAGCGTGACCGTGTCAGTATCCCCGCGGAGCCAGCTGCGTTCAATGGGCGCTATTACCTTGCCTATGTTCTCTACGCTCCGCTGTACTTGACAGGCCCTATTTTGACCTTCAACGACTACATCTCCCAGCAAAGATACGCACCTCCATCTCTTACGCGGACCCGGACAGTACTCTACGGTGTCCGTTTCTTCCTGACACTACTCGCCATGGAGCTCATACTTCATTTCATCTACGCCGTGGCTATCTCGAAGGCGTCTCCCGACTGGTCCCTGTACACAGCTGGCGAACTCAGCATGTTGGCATACTTCAATCTGCACATCATCTGGCTCAAACTTCTAATTCCATGGCGGTTCTTCCGTTTCTGGGCATTGGTCGACGGAATTGACCCGACCGAAAACATGATACGCTGCGTGTCGAACAACTACTCTCCCTCCTCCTTCTGGCGCGCATGGCACCGCTCCTTCAATCGTTGGATCGTGCGCTATCTCTACGTGCCCCTAGGTGGAGGCAGCAGAGGAAGTGCCGACCGCGGCAAATCTTCCGGAATCTACGCCAAGGCCCGCCAGATCTTCAACACGCTTATTGTCTTCACCTTTGTTGCTCTCTGGCATGACATCAACCCTCGTCTCCTCATGTGGGGCTGGCTTATAACCCTCTTCGTACTGCCCGAAGTCATCGGCAGACTACTGTTCCCAGCCAGCAAATGGCGTTCGCGCCCGACAACGTACCGTGTCCTTTGTGGAGTTGGAGCAGTCGGCAACGTTCTCATGATGATGATCGCGAACTTGGTCGGATTCGCGTTAGGGTTGGATGGATTGGAGGGCCTTTTGGCTGGTATATTGGGATCCTGGGCCGGCATCATCTACCTCATCTCAGCGTGCTGTGCTCTATTCGTCGGAGTGCAGGTTATGTTTGAGATTCGTGAAGAGGAAGCACGGGCTGGTATTGACTTGAAATATTGATTCTATCTGTGAATATTATACAGCAGTTGCTTAGACGCATTGCTAGATTTGGAATAGCATAATTAGTTGCATCTAATAGGGTATCAAAATGTTCATAGAGCCCGCATCAACGCGGGCTTCCACTAGTAGGGATATGCACCATGCCCTGGGGAGCGGCTCGAAAGCTTCAGCCAGAAGATCCAGTAGTGGTGTCCTGAGTATAGACTCAAAGGCTGATAGTGCAGTACTGTCTGAACACTACCACCTTCCTAACTCCCTAGTCATCTTATCTCTCCACCCCCCTCCCCAAACCAACTCATCCCGACTAGAAAAATGCCCCGCACCTCGAATCCTCATGCACCTTATAACACCCCAACCCACAAGTCCTCAAATGACAATTCTTGCACCGAATCTTCCCCCAATACCCACACATACAGCAGAAATACCGCGGCGACTTCCTCGCGATCGGCGGGCCAGCGCGCGATGCATGATACGTCAACGGCGGTTCAGCGAGCAAAGCCTGCATGATACGTTCCGACGGCGCGGACGGAATATATGATTTCAGAAGGGGGTCGTTGTCGTGTTCGGATTTGATCAGTTCGTGGGGGTTTTGCTCCTCCTTCTCCGCTTCCTTCTCCTCCTTCGATTCGGCGTGGTCTTTGTCTTGGGGTTGGTCTTTGTCGGGTGCTGGTGTTTCTGTTTCTGTTTCGGCGGCGGTGGTTACTGTTGAGGCGCGGGAGGAGGTCGGGGCGGTGGAGGGGCGTTGTTGTGCTTTGCGATTACTGCGCGAGGAGGTATCGGGCTTTGGTGTTGGTGCTGCTGTTAGGGGTGTTGAGCTGCGCCGAGAGGAAGAGCCCGGTTTGGTGATTTTGTTGATGGAGGGGCGGTGCGAGGAGGCGGTGGAGGAGGTTTGTTGTTGGGTTTGTTGGGTGGATGCTTGCTGCGCTAGAGCGGCTTCTTCGTCGTCGAGGTAGTTGCGGAAGGTCTTTTGGGATTGGAGGATTCGGCGGACGTTGGAGGTCACTTTGCCTCTTGTGCCTGGGGTTGTAGGTTAGCATGTCGTTCCGTGAACCGGGTGTGTATATGGCATACCTCGACCAGACGCATCCTTCTGTTTTACTGGAATTGAGATCTGCACGTCCCGGTGATTCTCGCGATCCAGCTCCGCGAGATGTCGAACGATAGCATTGTTCTGTCGTGAGGAGAGGTCCGCTCGGCCTGGATCGCGGATTCCGCGTTTGCGGCCGATGGCGGGCGTGATGGCGGCTTTGGCTGGGTCGAAACCGCGATCGGGAACGTAGGTCCACCCCGGAGTGGCGTGGGTGGTTGTGCTGTTGGGGATGAGTTCGACGTGATACATGTTTAGGAGAAGATGGAGGGCATGGTTCGGTTCAGGGTGTTTAAAGGCGATGATGGACTTGGATGGGATGGATTTGAATCTCCGCGAAAATGGATGGATGGTTCGAGAGACCGGAGATGGTCCCGTGCCAGAGTTTGTCTTGTTTGCAGGGAGCTTTGGCTCGATGACGCCAGCGACTCGCCGCCAACTGGTTGATATACTACTAGATGATTGAAGAAGACATACATGGCTGGTAATAGTGTACATATAGGTAGATACTGTTCGTATACAGGGCTGTTGGTTCATTACGCGATCCTCCATCGCTGTTTTACTCCTGGCGCTCAGCTGTGCCAGACCCTGCAATTGCAACTAAACAACATGATTGATGCTGGGAACCGAAGATGAAATTGCGCGGTAGAACAGTAAAAGGGAATATGAATGTCGCAGAGCAAAAACAAATGGAAGAATTGAATGAACGGGGTAATAAGTTCAGCATTAATGAGAATGTTCAAGCTTATTTCTTCTTCTGCAACTGGTCCACCTTCCTTTCTAATTCACCAATGTACGTCTGCAGCTTTTGTGTAGCTCCTTGAAGAGCCTGATTACCTTATTAGTAGCTCTTATAGAACTATCTTGGGGGATAATAGTATACGTACGATAATATCTTCTGTCAGCATCTCGTTCGCGATCCTGTACTCGCCCAGGACATAGAAGTAGACTCCGGCGCTGGCAGCAATCGCGCCAGTAAGGAATCCGAACAGACTAGTTCATGATCAGTTAGCGACTAAATCTTTTGAATAAAGCGCAGTTCAGGATAAACCAACCCTCCGCGAAACGCGCCCACGGGCTTCTTCGTAGGCAGAGTGTGCGCCGCTTCCTTCATGAAGGGAGAGACCGAAAAGCTCCGCGCCGGGACAAATGCCGACTTGGTTGCGACGGAGCGCAGGCCGGGCAACATTCTCTTGCACGCGTTCATGGTCATAAATTATTTGATGATCTGCAGTTGCAATCAGCACAGAGCATCGCTAGGCAAAATGATCAGGTTTCTTCTCACGTTGAAAGGAGATGAAGTTGGGGGCGCCGGGGAGAGCTTGGGATGAGTGACGTTGGCGGTGCTGTTTTGGGCGGAGACTGCGGCTGCTGCCGGCCCAATTATCCACGGCGCGTTTTCCGATCTCCTTCACCCCAACTATGCTGCTGGTTATTGTATTTGCCGCCTACGATTGATCACAAGTACTATTGGTGGCTGAGCTACGTGCGGAGATGCTACTGGATTGTTCCATGGATACGACCTGCTTGATACATACCATTATGCGTCCAATGGCAAATACTGGAAAAGACAGTTCTATCTACTATAGTAAGGCAGAGATCGTAGACCTCGGTTGTTACGGACAGCGCGGGGTCTGGCATACAGGCATTGGGTATAATACAAGAGAGGCTCGCTAGGTAACAGGAACTGGAAATAAATGAATGACGCTGTTAGTTGGCCATCGTACTTTCGTTGAACAAATCCGCTAACAGGTCGTCTCGGCAGACGTCCAACCGCGGATGGCCCATGCTATACGTGCTCTCGAATGCATGAATGCTGAGCTGATCAAAGAACGGCCGAAGGACTCGCTCAACAATCTCATCCTTTGCCGTTTCGCGAATCCAGTCAGCAGTTAGGCTTGGCTGTTTCACCCCCTGGCTGAGATCGCCCGTCTCCCCGAGTCCATCCGACGAGGCCGATCCGCGCGCTCCCAAACTCTGCGAGATTTCGTCCGCGAGTGCCATGGGTTCAAAGCGCTCCGGAGGGTAGACCGCATCTATGGTGTCGGTCACGTAAAGCCATTCGAGAAGTTGAAAGTCATCAGGCGCGAGGATGAGCAAAGTATCCAGTAGCTTGCACGCCTGTAGTAGCGCATATGGGTTGTACACCTCCTGCTGCTGGCCTACTGAAACCGCCGAGATGGCCTCCTGGAGCTCAGAATTCATCAACGGCCAAAAGGGGGCCAGAGTAGTGGCTGTGCACTTAAGGGCAAGGGCGCGCAAAACCATGAAAACCTCGGACCTGGTCGTAGAAGATGGGGACGAGGAACTAGTCGCGCCCAAGAGATCTTCCAACTTCTGAAGGAGTGCAGGTAGCTCTGCAACGAAGTAGTCAGTGTTGGCTGACAGGATGAGGAGGCTTATCCTGCGGAGATTCAATTGTGCCTTTCGATCCGCTTCTAGACGGGCAGCAGAAGCTCCAACGCCAAACATGATGCCTGCAGTACTTGGCGGAGTGAGTCGGGACATCAACTCAGACATTCGATCTTTGTCGGCGAGCACCCATTGCCGTAAAAGGTTTACCCAGCCGTCTTTCACCAAATCAAGCTGCATTCCGAAGAATTTCGGGTCGTTGAAGGCATCAGAGATATCCTTCTTCCAAATCTTGGAAGCAGCGGGGATTTTTGCTATGTGCTGGAGGAGCGCCATAAAATTCCGACTAACGTTATTCGGAAAGAGGCGTGCGCGAAAGAGTGGCCCGATTATATGAGTAGATATCCCAGACACCGCGGTAGTAATACGATCCGAATCGCCCAAGGTTGTTGTAAACGCCGGCATAGAGGCAGCAAGAATGCTAAGCAGGTCATCGGGCCCAACATGTGGCAGCGATCCACTGTCATAGTCAATAGACGCCCGGCCGAGAAGTGCTGACTCTTGGGAGAGACCCATAGGCTTGCTGGTGAATATTGCCGTCAGGAGACGAAGGAGTACATCCTAAAGTTGTCAGCATAGCCACGTCAAAGTCAAAATTAGATGAAACATACTCCTAACTCCTTCCTCATCCGTCGATCTTCTCCGAAGTTCGTATTCTCCAACTTCGCCCCAAGGATCGCTGCGAATTCCACTAATCGCGGAAGGATCTGCCTATGCGGAAAAGGATTGCTCAAAACATCTCGTAAGAAGGTGGTGCAATCTGCCCAAATCTCATCCAAAACATCATCGTCAAGTGACCTGGCGTAGGTTACTAGGAAACCTGCTAGCTCAGACTCCGTAAGGCTTGCGGTCAAGGTGGACTTGCGGTTGGGTTCCAATGCGGCAGGGTTAGTTCGCGTGTAGATAGAGTTGAATACAGCTGGTATTGTGATCTTTGGACGAGATCCATCCAGCGTGTGGAGCAAACTGATGATCAAAGACGAAGTGTCGCTGTCTGACTTCGTCCATACCTCTACCGCAGTTTCAAGACATTCAAGTGCCTCGGCCGTAAACAAGTGTTCCAATATCCGACGCGATCTATTCCTCATGCGCAAGGATGTATATTGGAAAGATGCCAACGACTCTGGGTCTTGAGGGAGTGTGCTTCGTTCTACTGCGCCCCACGACCATATCGAAAAACAAAGTCGCACAGCGTCCTGGAAGCAAAGCAAAACGGTGAGGCGGTTATTGGCCGCGCTGGACCGAGCATGACTCTGTTCAGACGCGAAGACTCCTGAGACCATGTTTCCAAAGAACCCATGATTCTGGTCCGGGCTCTTGGCAGCCGGTACATTTGCTTCTTCCGACAGCAGACGCTCGTGGGCAGTTGCGATGCAAGTCTCGAGACCGGTGAGTAGAGCGATCGTAGCGTGTTCAGAGCGATCTTCGGGCCAACCCTCGGTGCGCTTGAAAGATAGCTGAAGACTTGCATATGCCAATTGAATTTCCTTACAAAAGCATTCCACTAACATCAGGATTATCTGGAAGATGGATCCTGCATAAAGCGGAAGTACTTCGCAAAGCAGTATTGTCCACCTCTCCACTATTTCCCTGGAGTTTGGAGAGCTTATGCCTTTTAGAAGGCACTCCAATAGTTGCTGAGGGGGCTGGGGTAGAGGTGGCAATGCAAGAGACTTATCAGGTTTGTCGCTTGTGAAGGATAAGATAGAAGGACTTGTTAGACGTTCTCGAGAGGCAGTCCTTTGATGCTTTGGGCGTGGTGGGGGTGGTGGCAGGTACGCTTGAGCAAATCGAACCTTCAGCGCTGCGAGAAGAGTGTCGATAAGTGCTGCTTGAATACCGACACTACCACCGTTATCGAGCACGCTGGACAGCCTATCGACAAGGAAGGAGTCAATTCCAGATTCGGCCACCTCCTCGGCCCCGGGGCCAAGAAGAAGTTGACGCATCACAAGCAGCGCAGTTTGTTGCAGTTTGATCTCATCCACGCCCTGATGAGCAGCCGTCGTATGTCCGCTTACCACTCTGAGAGAGGCCTGGAAAATGACCGCATGTAGGCTCTGGGCTCCAGAGTTATCTGCAACTATCATCAGAAATTTGGTCACAGGAATGCTTGTTAGAACCGACCTTCAGATGTTGGAGTATCCTTGTGCTTCTCTGTTTGTACCAACGTCTGGGTGAGCAAGCTGATCCACCCATTATGTGAAAGCGTTGATATGAGATTGGATATTGTCTGTAGTAGATAGCTGCACTCTCTGTAGTCGTCTGGAGATACAGTGGGATTCGCAGTGTCTGGCTCTGCGTTCTCTGACTGCTGGAATAGACGATCAAGCCTCGAAACTACCATGCGGAAAACTCTATAGGACATAAACACTTGTTCAAAGCAGACTTTTCAATCCAATATCAAACAGTAAAGTAATATGGGAGAGACTGGGAGTGGGGTGCAAACGTACTTATGTATGGAAGACAGGTCTTCAAGCCAGCGGTGTACGACCTGAGAGGCTTCATTTACGCCCTGATTGAGCAAGTCCAAGACGATAAAGAGAGGGCGCTCGAGCATCGATGACTGGTAAGAGATTCCCAGCTGTGACACATTATGCAACTGCTTCGGAGGGAGCTCGTATGTACCGTGGTGACTGTGAGACCAGAGAACAAAGTACCTCCCTGCTTGTTCTGCCGACGATGATTGACGATGCCCGTTCGACTTGTCCACCATCAGAGAAGTGATCGCAGCCTCGACCAGATGATCGGTCCATGAAACAGAATGCAAATGCCACAATGAGCGAACTGCCTCGACATGAAACTTAGGGTTCAGCGGCGAAAGATATTGCCATAGCCGGTTGACAAGGGTGGGAATCAAGTCAGATACATCCTCGTATCTGATGTAGTACCCGGGGCTATGGATAAAATACATGCTCGTAATGGCGGATGCAATCGAGGAGATGGCTGCGAAGGAGGCGGTGGATGTCTCCACTTGATCAGCGCGAACACGATCACATAGTGCCAAGTAAAGGCGTCTATCGCGCAGAATCTTTGTTTTTGGAAGCTTCTTCAACATGACAATAAGAAGGCTTATACGTTCATGCATCTGTGTCGCATCGCCGCGGCCATCGAGAGCCTCAATAGCTTGTTCGTAGGCATTCCTGATGATGAGTTCCCCAAGGAGCTTGGGGGCGAATGGAAGCGGCTGAGGATCAAGACTCTGTTTGCTCTGTTCATAAAAGGCATGTATCCTACTCAAAATTTGTGAGCCAGGTACATCGGACTTGGAGCCATCTGCCTTATGGGTATCAGACTTCTTCGCGAACGCCCTCTCAGTGAGTAAGCCCGATAAGGAAGTCATAACACGGGACAGCCCAGTTGCTACGGCACGCAGCCGCTCTTGGTCCAAGTTAGGACTCTTTTCCGGAGAGAGTTCGCTCGTTTTGATGATTGTGGCGAGAGTCAGCAAGGGTACATGTGCAAGTACCATGTCCTCTTCGCGCACATTGAAGTTCTCGAGAATGAAATGCGCAAGATCCAGATTTTTCAGCACCTTATCATGCCCAGAGGTCAGGTCCTTGGACTTCCAGTCAATCAGATACAAAAGTTCGGAGAAAATGACGCCACTTTCTACGCCATCGAAGAAAGAACTGGCACTGCGAAAAACTTCCTCGAAATGAGTTTTTGACGCTTTCGATTCGAAAGCCTGGACACTTCGCATGATCGGCAGGAATACTTCCGGTACAATATAGCCGCCAACCTCCCATCGATCCATCAGCGACAGCGAGATGCGAA